CTTTTCTTGATACTATAGTTAAAAAATCTCATTATACATGTCAAGGTGTTAAGATATGTGAAAATTTAGATCTAGCAATTAAGACCAAAATTCATTCAGATGTGGATATGGAAAAGGATTTTGAGCAATTATTAGATGAAAATCTTAATATTCAAAGAACTAAAGAAGCTAAAACCTATATGTAAGAAAAATTAATTAATTTAAAAGTTATTAATTTTAATTTAAACTAATTAATATTAATTTTAAAGAAAATATTTAGCCTTACTTGAGCAAAAATGTTCTTATGATAATTACAATTGTACTGGAGAATTTGTAGTTAAAAAAAAAGCAAAACTTAATCTGACTTCAAAAGATCATTGGTTTGTAGGTTGTACACAATGGAGATTAAAATCAAAAGGGTCACATTTTTTTTATTATTTAAATGATGAAATTGATCCTTTGTTATTAAAAAGATTATTTGAAGGAGAAGCAGTAAGTTTTTATTTTTTATTTATTTGTTTTAATTTATTTAAATTAATTTTAATTTATTATTTAGTTTTCACCTTCAAATGAAGAAAATTTATGTAATATTATATTTTCTTCAAATTCAAAAAGAAAAACATGTAGTAAATAATATTTGATTTTTAAATTATAATTTATAAAAATATTTTAATTAATTTATAATACTATATATAAATTATATAATTTTAGGTTTTTCATAAGCAAACAAATAGTTCTTTTAAAGAAGGAAATATTGTTAAAATGAATTGCAAGGTTAAGTTTTATAAACTTATACCATCAAATCTTCAAGATACACCTTATGTTATATTGGTTTGTCAAGGTGTACATTCTCATCCTCCTCTACCACCATCTCAAATTCCATTGAAATATTAAGTAAATTAAAAACACTTATTGAAACTGAATCAACTCAACTAATTGATATTACAGCTAATAAATTAATTAGTAGTAAGTTTATTTAATATATTATTTAAATATATTTTTAATTAATATAAATTTTAATTTTTAAATTATTAAATAGATAATCTTATTAAGGCAACTTTTGGAAAAGATTATCTTTCTGAAGTTCATGCTTCATTAAACAATATAAATAAACTTAGAAGATTAATTGCAAAAATACAAAAATTAAAACACCCCTATGGACAAGGTTTATTAGATTTAACTTATAATATATGGTCTGGAAATCAAGAATTATCTGGATATATACAACAGTTAGGTTAGACAAATATATTTATTTTTTATTATAAATTATTATTATTTAATATTAATTTATAAATTTTATAGCTACTTTTGGAAAT